CAAACACAACGTTCATACTCATGGACTGCCGACATTCAGAGGGTACCGGCAAGCTGACTAGCGGCGTCGCCGCGTTCGGAGAGGGTTCCAACTTTTGACACGTCTCACCCGTGCGCACATAGGTGCTTGTCCATTTGTACAGATTGGCTGCCCAGTAGGGGCAGCACACCGAGCTGTACATTTTCGTGCGACCGAGATGACCAGTGAGTGGGGCGACGTGGGCCTCATAGAGAAGACGGTACTTCAAATTCTCATCGTGAGGAACCACAATTTGAGGTGTATCCGTCAAATCGGTGATTTAATACAGCATTCCAGTATTTAACGAATATCGGTGCAACCGTGCGCGCAGTCGCGACGACAAGTTATTTCCGAGTTTCCAAATTCCTTGCTCCCAAGAGACCAAGGCAGCGCGACGCACATATCGTCACGCGCGTATGCGGCGCGCATCAAACCCGTCACGGATAACGTCCCCGTCGTGACATGAGCAAGACCGAAACCGGGTCTGCATGACAATGCATCAGCCAGAGCATTCGACTTTCCTGGCTTATACTTTACCTCAAGGTTATATTTGGTGAAGAAATACAGTCACCTGATCGTCCTCGAAAGGTGAGGCGGTTGGGTCGCAGTGGGTAGTGACGCATAATCTGTGTAAATCACGAACGGCTTGGAGCCGAGCAGATGCACATTGAACTTGACAAGTGCGTACTTCATCGCAAGTAATTCCTTGTTGTGGACTGAGTACTTCTTCTTTCAGCCTTGAGCTGGCGAGATTCGAACGCGATCACCTGATCTCGCCCCTCGGCGTCTGCCTGCAGCCGATGACAAACTTTAAAGCGTTACAGACGACACTTAAAGAACGATCGGGGTCCGGCAACGCCATTATTGCTGCATTAGGAGGCTGTCTTTGACCCCGTCAAAGCATCCGCTCGGCGTACCACCATTCCGTATCCTTCATAAGGAGATTCGACAATGGCCGTGCCATTTCCGCACTTGTGCAAATAGTTGGTACAGCCAAGCCTTATGCAAGCCTTTTTGGTTCTTTGGGATCGACCAGTCCACAATAGCCTTGACCTGGAAGATTTCCGCTCGAAAGCCTCGCTTCCTAATGCAGCACCCTAAAAAGAGATTTCATCTGCGCCACAGATGCACTTATCGGCATTAGCATACAGATCATTCGTTTGCATGCACTCGAGCACCGCTTTCCAATGAATGATGGAGTTCATGTCATCGGTCCTCCAGTGCCTCGCACGACTGAAGAAGAAGTATGTCTGTGCATACGCCCGGTGGGGCCTGAACAACTGCGCCACAAGACGATTAAATGTTGCTAGTTCATTTGACAGCCCCTAAGGCATCACAAGCCACTCCTTGTCGATCATTAAATGCGTATTGGACAGGGGTCTCGAACGTGGCTCGCG